CTTGCTGCTATTGTTGTTGTTACAATGCATTAATGAGGCTTAAATGTTGCCATTATAACTATAAATGTGAATGTTTTTCTTTCCTTTTCTTTTATCGTTTTTGAATTTTATTTTCTTCTGAGCAACCATGCAGCGGGTATTAGTTTTTTTTTGCGGCTGCTGTGCTGGCTGTTCTCCTGCTTATAAAGAAATCTTATGAAACGCTAATACGAAAGCACTTGAAATTCGCTCGATCGCATAACGTCGATACTGATGACAAACTTTGATGACGACGATGATGATGACGACGGTGACGGTGATGATGATCAGTATATTCGTCCGAATTTCAATTGAGCTGAGCAGAAAGAGTAACAGCACTAGCAACAGCGTGTGTAATGTCTACAATTTTCTGTCAAGTTTTGCGTTGATGGCGATAACGTTTTGAGAGAGATTGTGCGCGCATCCATCAAACAAATAAAGAAACAAACATCAGATCATCGTAGATCTTTTTGCTTAGTATTTTCTCAACGTTGATAATGATCGCGCTAAAGTTTGATCAATTCAATCAACCTTTTATTGACTTTATAGCAAAGCTTGTGTCATGTTCTGCTTGAAAGTGTAATTCAAAACAAAACAAAAAAAAAAAAGAAATAAATAAATATAAAAATAAAAAAAACAAGAACCCAATGTAGAGATTGTTCAAATTAAAGGTCGAAAAGCAACAAAAAAAAAACCATTGTTATTATCATCATCACACTGTTTTTTCGACTGCTGATGACGAATGACGACTTATGCCATTACGGCCATACGGCCATACGGCTACTACAACTACTACAACAACTACAACAATTACTACCACTGCTGCTGCTACTACTACTACTACTACTACTACTACTACTACTACTACTACGACTGCTACTATGTCCTATGTTTTGTCCTACGTTTATGTAAAGTTCAATGTGTTTTCTTTTAAAAAAAGTAAATAAATAAATAAAAAAGTAAAAACAAAAAAATTATATATAAATAAGAACAAAAAAAATCATCAGCCGCCACCGCCAATTTAAAATGTCCTTTGCCCCGTTTTCAAATCTTCCGTCTACGCTTCACGTGGATTCGATTCATTCCTACTATAGCCAGCCACTGCCGTTAATGCGATCAACGTTTTACTGGAAATTACCAAAAGTTTTTCTCCTTGTTTATCATCATGTTTTTATTCGTCGCGGTTGTGTTTTTGCCACAAGCACACTTGTCGTTGTCGTCGCTGTTGTTGTCGTTTGCTCCTGTTTTCGATCATTCAAACTTATTTCATCGTCATCATTATCGGCACTGCCACCGCCACCGCCAACCACATGACTGTGATTTTTATAGCACCACATATTCTGTTTTGGTCGCGAGTTCTACTGGAATTTATGGTATTTGCAACAACTTGGTTTTTTGTTTACCATCTCTCCATCTCCTTGCACTCGTCTTTTTCTTTTTTTCCTTTTTTTTTTTTTTGTTTATTTTCGTTTTTGCTCCCACCTCATTTTTCAGCAAACCTAAATTACATTGTGATCTCTGAATATGTTTGTGAATCCAGAGCAAACATTTTTAGACTTTTGGTTATTTATTTATTTTTTATTTTTGCTTTAACTTAAGAAAACCTTAGTTATTTACTTTTGGGATAAGAGATCCGCTGGCAGACGTATGAAGTGCGTTTGGCCACAAGCTGTTTTTGTTTTTTGATGAAAATTCTAATAATTCTTTCGAGTCCAAAGATTTCATTTAATTTGTTCTTAAATTAGATTTTTGGTCGAATTTTTTAAGAGCATTAAAAAGTTTTTTTTAAGTTTTTTTTTTCATTTTTTATAAAAGTAAATAAACTCTCGATAATTACAAGTCTTTGATCGCTTTAAGGGAATGATTTCAATGATCATTGAAAACAGTTTCTTCTTTCAAATTCCCTAGATGTCGAACGGCTTTACACTTGTTACACATCATGTTACCAAAGTATTAGCAGGAAATGTACGAGAATTTCGTGCGTTTTCACGTCATTTACTTCATTTGTTTTATTAACTGGTTGTTTTCAAATGTAACTTCTTTTATTTGGGTCTATTCCATGCACTTCCCTTCTTTTATTTATTTAACTTTAAGAAATAAAACGACGAATGAAAACCCAAAACGGAATTTAATCAAAACGGTTGCTGTCAATATGCTGTGTTTTAGGTTATCTGTGGAGATGATAATTTGAGAATGCCGATGGAAGTCTTTTACATTGGTACCACGTGGTTGTTGTGATGCTTTCTTTTCATTGACAATTTCCGAATTTTCCGAATAGTTAGAAATCGCACGGTACGAAATTAAATGAATACGACAAGTGACTGGCGACTGAAAAGTGACTTTTGCGAATCGTGTCGGAAGGCATACATGGTCATGACCCGTCTCTAGCGAAAGTAAGCCTTATTTATAGTACCTCTGCTTTGCATAGATCAAATACTTATAGGGGAGCGTTTTTCATCGCCAATTGCGATGCAATAACTTCGTTTCTATATTCGCGAATAGCCAAGCACGTTCGAAAGAACTGCACTTGGAACCATTAGAATATAGTGGATCTGAAAATGTTCTGTACAAGTTTCTTTGCTCAAAACGATTACAACAACTAGATATGGAGAATGCCGTTCGCCTACAAAGTTCAACAAGATGATGATGATTCGATTTAAGGAAAATGGAAAACGAAGTAATAGTTTAACAGCGGAGAGGGCTTTAATTGCTTCAAGTTTCTATCATCTCCCTTTTGTTAATTGTAGGTCATATGTAGATTAGCGCCAATGATATCGTTTCTTGATAATAAGCCAAGCATCCGCCGTACCGCACAAACGATTCACTAAAACTTCTTTGCAATTTTTCATTTTTCCATTTAAACGTTATTAGTTAGGTGAACACGGGCGAACCATGTCAAATATTTGTAAAAAAATGCGAAAGGTAAATGATTTAGCCGCAACGGCCAAATTTATTTAATTACGGCCTTCGTGTATTTTATTCAATGTATGATATATGTTACACTAATAGCTAGACATTTAGGACTCTACAAACATTAGAGCCTATATATAATTGTAGCAATTTGTCCCTTGGGTCATCGATTAGTCATAGTATAAAGTTGTTGATGTTTTCCAAAAATGAGAATTGAGGAATTAAATCAAAACTAAAATATATATTTCTCTAGAACGAACGTAGGCAAAGAAAGCCTTCTGACAGGGGAGAGGTTCATTCGTTCATTACTGCAATTAGATTGAATGTTTGCTGGTATCCGATATCAAGCAATTCACCAAAATAGCCAATGATTGAAATTATTTGCCTTAAATGATTAAACACGATTTTTGTTGCGTTGAAATTATGAACAAGAGCAAAAAGAAGAACAACACCAACAGTAAAAGCAACAATTTTGTTACACTCTATACTTATGTTGTTGTAAAAATTGACAAAAAACAATAGTAATAGCAACAAAGTGCGACAACGTTTACAATAGCAACAACGATGATGATGTATAACTTTAGTTAAACATTGATGCTAACACAGCAACAATAACAATAAGAACACCAGTGATAATAATAATAATAATAATAATAATAATAATAATAATAACAACAAAAACAACAATTAGAGAAATATATCGCGTGTGCAGGGAGTGTTTGAAAACATACCGAATGCGTAGCGTGTACATTGTCCGGCTGCAAAAATTTACAACATGTAGTTTTCGAATGCTTAGCCAGCCTACCAGCCAGAAACTGTGCCCAGAGTGCGCAGTTGTGGCAATATTATGAACATCAACGATTGACCGCTTAAAGTTGTAATGTGTTTTCGTTATTCTTGTTGTTGTTTTGTGTTGTTATTGTTATTGATTGATCTGCTCAAAAGGTTAGGATGAAATGTCGTTGTCGTTTGTTGGATGGTGATGAACAGCAAACGCACAACAAACACTTAGATGGCTCGTGTGGTTCCATAGACATACGAATAGAGTTATGTTTAGATGGGTAGGCGAACGGATGGATCGATGGTCGCATGCATGAAAGCATAAATGCGCGTGTGTGCGTGTGCAAATGCGTTCTTATTTATACATATAGCTTTAGCTAGATCTAAGTTTCTAGACAGACGTACACACTTATTTAGGTAGGTGTGTACGGCTACGTATAGATGTTCTTTTTTTCTTTTGCATTAAACTCAAATCTTCAGCTAGATATTTTACTTTTGTCTATTTATGGTCAATTGAGTGACTGGATAAAATGTTTGTCTGGCTGGTTGGTAGGTTGTTCAGTTGCTTAGTTGCTTTGTTTTAGTTTACATGTTCGTTTATATGTTTGTGCATGTTACCTATGGTTGAGATGTGCGTCTTTTGGTGTTTTCATCTCTTTCTTCTCGTTCTTCTTCTTCTTCTTCAATATATATATATATATTTTTTTTTTTTTTTGTGAGTTGGTGTGTTATGCGACTAATTGGATATGAAGGACCTTAAATAACCGATCACTGTTCTACATAATTAGCTTTTGTACGACAGCCTCAAGTTATGGTGTAAAACACAATAAGTACAAACGTACACATGCGCACTTACGTAGTTACGTACGCTGCGCAAGTTTAATAGCGATCAGCGAGCAACGTCATCATTTTGATCAACATGATGGCCGTCGTCGCAATCGTTGTCTTCTCGTACGACGTCATTGTCTGTTGACAAGTAGAGCATAAGAATTTTTTTTTTTTCTTGCTGAGTATGTATTGTGCTTGTAATTCATCAATAACAAAATTCTTTGATAATTGGCAAAAATTAAATAATTCTTTGATCACACAAAAAATTTGCGAAAAGGAAAAAAAAAAAAAAAAATTTCCTATCATATTAAGGGAGAAAAGAGAAAACACATAAGTCATGTACATATTATTATTATTATATTGTATTCTTTTAATGCACATTTTTGACTGCGAAATCTTTAAAATTATAAGTAATGCAATTTATTAAAATCTAACCAAGGATTGCTTGAATTTGGAAAATTTCACACTCAAGCAATTTGTTGGTGTCGGCCGCCCGCGCAGGTGACTTAACAGATGCCGCCCCGTCGTTTTTGCAATCTCACTTATCCTGTTTTATTTTTGCTTTACTTATTTACTTATTTATTTTATTGAATTTTGTTCATTTTGCTTTTTCTTTTTTACTTTTCTTCTTGTATTAATTTTCACTGCCATTCCAAAAATGTTGCTCTCTGATCTTGACTGTGATATTCGTGTCTGGTTTATATTGAAAACCGAAAACTTTTATAATAATATTTAACATGTACAGCTCGTCTGCTTAACGAGATACGTGATGGACATATTGAAGCACATCATCCATTCCAATAACCAATAAATGTGCTGCGGTATGGTGGCATTCATTCACTTTACTTCACTCACTTCGGCAAGTAAGGTAACACTTGCTTACCACGCATGCAAGCACTTACATTTCATTGATATCGATTTTTAACAAACTTAACTAAAATCTAAAAATAACAAAAACAACAAAAAAATAAGAGAAAAAAAAATTGTGGTTAAAACAAAAACTTCATTTGAACATTAAAAAGCAAAGGCGTTCATTTTATTCATTCGTTCCACTGCCACAGTTTTTGACAAACTGTAGATGACAACTTTACTGTACCCTGCACCGCACACTTTGTTGTTCTTGTTGTCACATCGTTGTACGAAAACAAGTGCGTGTGAAAAATATTACTTTGAAATGTGTGCGCTTATCTGTGCATGCGTTGCGTTGCGTTGCGTTGCGTTGCGGAGCGGTGCGATACGTGATAATTTTCAATATCAATTGCATTTAATGTGCATGTGATATTTGTGCATGCGTTTGTACGTTTATTTCTTTCTTTTCTTTATAAAATGCTTAATATTCAATTTTAGTAACATTTCGTTACCATAGAAAGGAAAGTCGGCTAAAAATCTTATCGTTATCGTCATCGTCATCGTCATTCAGCTAATTATTAGATAGTCCACAACATGTTGAATCTTACTATCATTATTTCAGCTCTCAATTCTATACAACTGACTGACAAGCTAGTAAATAATGGATATATGTATATATAGAAATAATTTTTTTATACACGAGGCTCAGTACTTTTTCGACCAGTTAACATCACAATCATCTAACGTAAATGCTATATTTTAACTTATCTACTAGTAGGATTGTAAGTTCGAACATTTGACTCCGCATGAAATATTTGATATTTTCTCCAGTTTACTCATTTTATCCAAATTATTTCAATAATTCGGTTTACCCGTTTTTTCCCCCTTCATTCATGATACCAATTTTACTCATGTTGTCCATTCTATCTCTTGTATTGTATTATTTCACTACTTATATTTTGCTAATTTTATCCCTTTGAGTAAGATAGCTGAAGGTGTCAGTACATTCAATGCAAAATATTACGTGAGTGATTTGAGCGAAAAATGCTCTGCTCCCTGTCTTGGCTCAAAGCAACTTAACTTTCACACCTAGAGACTTCTGTTCTTTTGCCAAAAACTCGACTAAAGTTCACATTATTAGTTCGAATTTGTGTGAGTAGTTGCAACGAAAACAAAAAAAAAAAAACTTAAATCAACACTTAAAGTGATAATGGATACAGACGCTTCCGGAAGCATTCGGAATTATTTTGTAGGCTGAGCAACGTAATGTTTTACGTCGAACCTATTTATAAAGAGCTCATATAAATCTGCAAGTCCTAGTACTTTTCCTATAGAATATACTTTAAGTTGTTAGAGACTGAGATCTTTTTGCTTTCTGTTTTCATATTCTCAATGAAGAGACTACGAACAAGTAACGATAAACGGACAAATCGATGTGGACAGGCGTTTATCTAAACTATATGCAGTTCGTGAGATTTCTGTTATCTATTTCTAGATGTTACAAATGCTAAGAGGTCGCTAACTTTCGATATTAGGTACAAAAAAAAAAACAGGAAAAAGACAAAAGGAAAGATTAAAACATCCTTGCATCCTCAACATAAACATTAAAGTATTTACATTTTTCTTATTTCATGTCCCTGCAGCAATTAAATTTGATGTTTACTATAATTTATGCATTACGTAAGTTTTTTGTATATATATATATATATAAGCTTTCGATGTAAACTCATTAAAAGTTATTAAAAGTTACTTTTACTAAAGCAATTTAAAATTCTCTTTTTTTCTTTTTCAAACCATATACATCCAAAGTGTCTTTACAAATGAATTTCTTTTGAGACAGGACTATCAAGTAAAAGGCTTAAATGAAATAATACTAAGCTAAGATAATGGGTCTGAAGCTATATTTGACGGATCGGCTGTTTGCTCTTTTTAAAAATATTCTCCTTCATATTTATCTCTTCATTATATTTTTCAATAGTTCAAGGAGTGTTTAAGTCAACACAAGAAAGAAAAAAACGCAAAAAAATTCACAAACTTCTATAAGCCCTTGAACAAGGAAACAGAATCACCTCAACTTAAAAAACGATAGGTTTATGTGAATGATAATGAATTACAAACCACGACAAAGAACTTGTCTTTAGCCTTAAGTAAATAAGAGTGGAAAAACTAAAGCCGCTTGGCAAGGCGACTCGATCGTTTCATTTGTAGAAAATCGAATTGTATCCTAATCTAAGTGAAAAGAAACGCAGAACAGACAATTTCGTCAGCGGAAACTGAGATTTCAATTTGATTGTTATAAGATGTTCATCGTCAGCGCGAGAATCATAGTTTTTTTAACTTGCGTGAAGTTAGCCCACTGTACGTAGCGCACATTTTTATCTTTGCTAAAAGTGGGGCAATCTTCACAATTGGTTCGCGCCTTTGTTAAGGCATAATGATAATTGAATGATATTGAAAAAGTAACAAAATGATGTGAAAAACTAAATAAAAATAGAAAACACAAACATTAATAAAATAAGAAATCATACAGAAATGTTATAAGAAATTAAAAGAAAAATTTACGGTTACTATTTACCAGGTAGTGCATATATATTGTCCGTGAAAAGTTACAATACACAAAGTGCTTATAAAAAATTTTAACTAACTTTCCCTAGAGCAGATTTTTGAAATGTTTTCAAAGACGCGACAACCTATCAGAAAAGCCAAGCAGTGATTCGCAGCCATTTGGGATTTGTCTTTCTGACCATTTATATCGGTAAAAATTCAGTTTATGCTAAGCCTATGCCCTACATAACTTATTTTATTTAAAAACAATATCGTACCTAAAGCAGTTGCAATATAATCACAATGAGTTAATTTAAATAATTAAGTAAAATAAGTAATTCTCGTTGGGACGTTGGGTCATGGAAATGAGATTAGGTATTCCTTAAAGGTTGCAGCACTTTTCACGGTATATCAAAAATCTGTAGTTGCGTAATGTCTCTGAAAATTGCTATAACACGACATGGACATTGCATCGTTTCAGTGTTTGTACTGCAATAACTTAGCTTCTATGGTTTTGTGATCGTAACTCGAGGCTTAGTTTGTTCTATATGTGCACGCTGACTGATATTATTTAGTTTTAATACTTATTTGACATGTTTGTTTTCTATATCGCGATAAACAGTAACTTAGCAACAACATTTTAGCGAATATGCGAACCTTAAACAATGTGGGTTATCTTGATGGGCTGTCTTCACTTTAATTTTTCTAAGGTCTTTTTGTTTACCTTACAATCTTTTTTTTTTTTGTTAAAAGTAGCACTAGGATCTACCAAACTGAATTGTGAGATGTTTGGCTTAATTGTTAAATTACATCCAAATATTGTCGAAATAGTAGCAAAAAATCCTACTCATAAATAGCAAAAAATTTAAACTTATTTTTTTATATGCATATACACCATGCTTGAGGTGGTTATAAAAAATAATGAATATAAATTTTCCTTTTGGTTTTTCTTCACTACACTTGTGGTACGAAATTCCCGATTATTTAATTTATGTAATCTTAAATCCATATAAAATATATAGAGTATTTATTTTATATTCTTCACATCATGAAAACATTTATGTTGTGTTAATGGCACCCATACGTATGATGATAGAATCATTGTGTTTTCAATAGACCAACTAAAGATTTCTTGTTAAGTTAATTGTCTGTTATTTGGCTAAGAGCAAAAAAAAAAATGTTAAAAAGCAAGTAAAAAGCAATATTATCAATAAATATATATTTATACTCTGCGCCATTTGCGGTATAGCAGTATGTTGAGTTCGTGCGAATGCATGCAGTACGTAGAAGGACGCAGAGTTGGACCCACTTTTAGTTATGTCAAACGATTCAGAATGTGATTCTAAGCTTTTCTGTCTGCCCATCCATCGCGCTGAAATTTTTTATTTATTGTCATGAAATGTGATGTATCGACGTGTTTTAGCCTAACGATGGATGCTATTCAAAATGGTTCGAAACGGATAACTTATTCGACCACTTCCGTGTCCCAATATAGTGTGTTTACTTGTTTTTTTATAAACTAAGTTTTATAAAATCAAAAAAACAAACCACAAAAATTGCTAAAAAGACATATAAATAAATATATTTACTTTTCTTATTTTGACAATAATTAACGATAAATAATTTTTTTTTTTTTTTTTTTTTTTGTTTAAGATCTCTACAATAATTATTTTGAAAGAAAGTTGTTTAGTTAGATTTTTTATTTATTTAACTGTATAATCTGTGCTATATAACGTACCTCCTGTAGATTTTTGATAATTTGATGCATTGTATTTTTAGTTGTTGTTGATAGGTAGAAACACTTTCGAAAGTCGGCTTTCGCTCTGTGTTTTTAAAAAGTTTTTAATAAAATCAAATATAACAAGTAATAGTTGCGTTTTTATTTCGTTTTTATTTATTTATTTATTTTACTTATTTATTTTATTTTTTATTTTTTATTTTTTTTTTAATGAATATTACTGATGTTGTTGTTGTTGCGTAATTAAATTAATATCAGAGAATCCGCACAGCTGTCATAAAACGGTCGTTAATGATTTCTTATATACGATAAGAAGTTACTAAAATCATTCATTTTACTGGCCAGTA